AGTTTTTTGAGACGTGGCCTCATAATGTATTTCTGCCTGGCCTGGAGTTCACTATGTTGACCAGGAAGGCCTGGAACTCACAGTCTGTCTCCTGAGTGCAGGGATTAAAGATATGTGCCACCATGCCTGGTATGTTTTTATTTTAAAATAATGCGTATGTGTATGTAATGCATCTGTATATATGAGTGCAGGGGAACAAGAAAGGCCACTAGATCCCCTGGAGCTAGTTACAGGTGGCTGTGAGCTTACTGATGTAGCTGCTGGGACAGAGCCCAGTAACTTGGGGTACTGTAACAGTAACAGTATACTTGTAACAGTAGTATGAGCTCTTCACTCTCCAGCCCCAATATCAATACTTTTAAAAGGCAAATTTGACATAGTTGCAACATAAAAGGATGAGCAGTTAGCTGTGAAGTTAAGTGGTAGTAAGAAATCTGAAACTTTTATTCCAGTTAAAAGAAAAGAAGCTACTTAATTCACACCAGTGGAAACCACGTTTTTTATATCATAAATATCTTAGGCCATCAGAATCTCTTCTAAGGTTATCTACTGTGTTCTAATACAAACTTTGTCTTTATTTATTTATTTATTTATTTATTCATTTTAAGCATAAAGGAAATACAAACACTGAATTTATTTTGACTGAAATAAACTGAGATCGGAACAAAGTTCAGAATTGCAAAAAAAAAAAATGAGTGAGAAGTACCCTAAATATCCAAAATATTAAGCATGGTTGGTAGTAACTATATTTATGTACATCTATATAATGAAGTGAACATATGTACATGTTTTTATTTTAATCCTTTAAACAAGGTCCTAAGAAAAGAAAATACAATATATTTTAGTATGTATTCAAATATACTAAATTTATGAAGAAAAAGATATGTTCTGAAAGTTCTGCAATCACCATAGGAATTGGCTTTTAATTGTATGTATATTTCATCATTCATTTCTGTTTCTTGCTTTTATTAGGAAATTCATATGTCATAGCTTATTTTAGATGATTGTTCTTACACAGTGAATATTTCTGGCATTTTTTATATATTGATTATGAAGCTTAATTATTGCATATTTTGTATATTCCTATAATATGAAATATATGTGTAGATATAAATAAGCATTTATGGAAAAAGTTTTCTGCTATTACTTTAAGAAATTATTATATAGTCAGTTTACATTAAGTAATGTGATAGATTATTTTTAAAAAACGTCATATATATTTGATTTGTAATAAAATTTAGTCACTGTTTCTGAGCTTCCAAATAAAGATATAAAATATTAACAATACTGTAGTGATATATATATATATATATTACAGTTTTTTTGTTGGATTATTATTGTCTTATTAAAGAAATGTTTTATTCACCTAAAATAGGACAAATCAATTACAAACAAAATGAAAATATATATTATGGCCACAATCATATAATCAAGCACTATGGAAGTTAAAAAGTCTAACAAAAATTATAAAGAGAAGTTCTTCAACTGGTAACCAGTAAACATAATTTTCACTTACATACGCTCTTGTGCATAAGATAAGGCACGTATGAACAGTTAAGAACTTAGAGAAAAAGTATCTCTATGGTATCCTTTTTAATATCTTTATGACTTATGAGGGAGACAACATTTTGTAGTGCTGGGGATGGAACACAGGGTCTTAATTCTTTAATTGACTTTCAAGATATACTAGAACTTTTTTTCATGGATTGGTCTTTCAGTAAATAAGAGAAGGCATATGTTGAACCTAGAGTAGTGCTATACTTGCTAACATATAATTTTGTTACTTTTCCACAGTTGTTACTGGAACATCAAAAAGTGCAAATAAGTGTTAAAGTATTTTTTTCTGCTTGGTAGAATATAAATATTCCTGAGGATATTACAAGTAGTACAGCAGGTGTTCAAAGGCATTCTCCTAAGGGCCTTGGTTTATCAGTCTGTACTATGTATAAGCCTGCCTTTGGTGGCCCTTAATTCTATCTTATTTTTCCAACTTCCATTAGGATGGAAGATGTTTGCATGACAGAATTGAACAAAACATCTTATCATATCTACTTCTACTCATTTTGTTGTTGTTGTTAAAGGTTATTGTCTTAAAAGAATGGCTCTGGGAAACAAATCATTAATCACATGGAAAACTGTGACATTAATATCATGTAAGCTAACCTCTTTTTAAAATAAAACATAGCAATAATTGGGTATAAATAAATGAACCCTTAAATATGTTAAAGAATTTCATTTGAATGAGTGCCAGATGAACTGTTTATCTACATTATTATCTCATCAATAAAACTTGGGAGTCAGATATTAGAGTAAAAGTCTGATTGATCAAAAATTGATGGAGAAGTGACCAGTGACTTCCCCTCTCTCTTTCCTCAATCCAAAAGGATCTTTGAATCTAAGCCTCTCCCTACCACTTCTTGTGTCTCTCCATATGTCCTCTTTCCTCCAAAAATCTCTATAGATAATTTGGTTAGCTAGCAGCTAGATCTGCCCTCCAATTCAAGGTAAACGTTATTGTCAGTCCCAGGAGTGTAAAGAGTGTGATCAAAATATCCCACAACAACGTATAATGCATCCCTGAACAGATTTGTGCTTTTTTCTCTAATTCGTCCTCGCTACAACAAGAATAACCTTTCCTCAACAGCAAGTGCACTCTGGCAAAGGTCAAGATGCCTGGCTTCATTGGAAAACCTTGTTTGTTCTTCTCATCACAGATCCAGACTACATAACCTCTCCACTCTTCTTCACCCAGAGCATCAGCAGCGACATCTGTGGCCAAGTACTTCTCAGAAAAAGTACAATGTTCGTGGTCACTGTCTACTTCCATGACTTTCTGATAGCTGGCGGCTAAGGAGACATTCAACTTCACTTTGGCATGGCCAATCACCTAGGAATTTCCAGAAAAAAAGAGCTTCTTGGGAACTGTAACAATAATATGTTGCAAACAGGAAATTTAAAAAGGAACATGCCTTCATTTCTTCAGATTAGTTTTGCAGAATTTTCCTAGTAATGTAACAAATTGTCAATGAAAAGGTCTCAAAACTTGAATGAATAGCCAGGTGGTGGTAGCACATGCCTTCAATCCCAGCACTTGGGAGGCAGAGGCAGGCGGATCGCTGTGAGTTCTAGGCTAGCCTGGTCTAAAGAGCTAGTTCCACAACAGGCTCCAAAAGCTATGGAAAAACACAGTTTAACCAATAGTCATCATTGGTGGATGATGACTTAAACTACTGGTGGATAAAACTGTAATAATTTAAACTTAACAGCTGACAAAAACAAAGTAAACACTAACCGTGTTTCTCCTTACATAATGTGGTGGTTTGAATGAGAAAGGTCCCCCATATTTGAAACTATGATCACCAGTTGGTGGTGCTGTTTGGAAAGGTTATTGTACAGGTCACTGTACAACTTTGCTGGAGGAATTACGTCACCAGGGACAGGTATTGGGAGTGTATAGCCTAGTCCCACTTTCATTTTGCTGGGTGTGCTTCATGTTTGTCATGCAAGATGTGATCTCTCAGCTTCCTGCTCTTGCTTCCAAGCCTCCCCCTGCCTTGATGGACTCTTTCTTATCTCTCTGGAATGGTAAACCAAAATAAACTCTTTATAAATTGCTGCTGGCCATGGTGCTTAATCACAGAACAGGAAAAGTAACTAATACAGAAATTGGAACTAGAGAGCACGCTGTCGTTGAATGCAGCACAGCTCGGAGGTTAAGCCATCTAAGTCTTTGAAAGTAAAGTCCCATGTTGCTGAGACCTAATGTCTTCCTCAGGGGAGAGGGCAAGACGGCTCGATGTCAACAACAGACTCAAGGAGTCCGGTGAAAGGGACACAGCAGACTTGTTTATGTAGCAATGGGGAGAACCTTATATACCCTCCTAGCACCCAGGCATTCCGATCCATTGACAATGTAGGGCCACCCCTCATTGGCCAGGCATGATTAGGACCTCTGACAGCACCAGGCAGACTCCAGGTTGGCTCCTTTTAGCCTGGTAAGCATTAACTTCCTATAGATCTAGACATTAGACAGGGAGCTACAGGTTTTGCTTGTTTGCCCTGCTAAGTTTCAGTCTTTCTGCAGTCCACTACTTCCTCACTATGCTCTTATTCCTCCCCTTTAAAATGATGTTTATTTTGTGCCATTAAATGTTAGAAGTCTGCTAATTGCTTTTAGATTTATAGGTGGCTAGAGTTAAGGGATTGCCTTGAGTCTCACAAGAGATGTTGGACTTTGAAATTTGAAATGGTGTTCATACTGAGAAAGACTATGGTCACCTTTAAAGTTGAAATAAACATATTTAACATTATGATATGGCCACAGGCCTATGGGAGCCAGGGAGAGGATTGTGGTGGTGTGAATGAGAAATCTTGTCCACAGGTCCATGCATCTGAATACTTGTTTCTCAGTTAGTGGTGAGGTTGGGGGAAGTTATGCTAATGTGAGAATTTGCTGAACAAAATATGGCACTGGGGTGGGTTTTGAGAGCTTATAGCCCTGTCCCATTTCCAGTCTGTTTGCTCTGCTTTGTATTTACCAGTGAAGATGTGACAGCTCAGCGTCCTGTTCCTGCTGCCATGCCTCCCCTCTATGATGAACCTGCATCCCTCTGGAATCCTAAAGTAAAATAACTCCTTGCATCCGTAAGTCATTTTTGGGAGATGGTATTTTATCAAAGCAATAGAAAAATAACTAAAGCACATAGTGAAAAACCCATGAATCATAGCAAATGAGCTGGGTGTGATAGCATACACCAAGAGACCACGGCTGAAGGATCACTGAGTCTGAGACTACTCTGCATTACATATTCCCACGCTGACTTTAAAAACAATCCTACAACAAAACTAAACAAAATGGGCTGGGTATATGGCCCAAGAGTTAAGAGCACTGGCTATTCTTCTGGAAGGGCTGGGTTCAGTTCCCAGCTTCCACATGTTGGCTCACAACTGTCTGTAACTCCAGTTCCAGGGGATTCAATGTCCTCTTCTGGCCTCTGTGGGCACCAGGCACACAAGTATTATTACAGTTATACATGCAGGCAAAACAATCACATACAAAATAAAAATAATTTTTAAAAGTCCTATAGAAAATGATACAGCCTATTTGTGACGCTTGGGGCTATGTAAACATATTAAATAAACATGCTTTCCTTGTTTTTATTTTTACAACATCACATTTCATCACAATGACTGAAAATTCCCTAAAAACAAAGCCTTTATTCTGACAAAATTACTTTAGTTAGTAGGTGCTAGATGTTTTCTCTACTATTTGAGGAAGACATATAATATAAAGAAAATTAATGCTAGCTTTGTCAAAGACATCTACAAAAATATGTCCCTTACACCTTTACAAATAATATTCCGAATTATAAAATCTGCCAATGTGGAAATTCCATGGAATTTCTTAATGCACTGCAAATTACACAAGGCAAAATAAAGCATCATATATAAATAATGTTCAAACATTCTGGCATGTATAATGTTTTTCTCACTAGAGTGCAACTTTACATACAAACACAGAGGCTGTTTCAGACACACGTGGAGGAAACAGAAGCACCAGTTATTTAAGTTACACTTGATCACGAAGACGAGCAAGCCTCTGTGACAGTTCATCCTAGAGAAAGCCAAATTTACAAATCATCGAAGGCTGTAACAAATATGAACCATTAAAACGTGTAATCCCCTTAACATTTTAAATACAATTTAAAATCTTGTTTATAAAATTTATATAAACATTAGGCATTTAGTTTTCTTAAACAGCTAAAAAGAAACTTAAAAACTTAGAACAGCAACTATAAAGGTTATCAAAACAGTCTACAAAATAAAATGTGCATGCAAATTGAAAACGCCCACTATTACACAGCTATTGGCTGTTCCGGTTTTGTTCATTTTAATGATGTGTCATAGTAGAAAAATACTCTTTATAAAAAGTGAATATATATTTCCTTATATACAAATATATACATATCTTATAAATCATACATTTCCCAAATTTTTAATTTAAATATGAATAAGTATATTAATAAAAAAATTCAACCTCTACCTGCTCCGTAGAAGCAACACTTGCACCAACAGAGCCTGTCTGCCCCTGTGGGAGCTCCATATTGAGATCAAGGCTAAAGATGAATTTACAAATAATCATATCAAATGATGTTAATATAGACATTTTATAATAATCAAATAAGTACTGCAAATTTGGCTACTATATCCTTTTATCACTTTAAATAAAAATTGTGTTTACATGTAAATAGAACTTGAATGTCTTCAGAACACCTTTGGATACTTTAATGATGATTTTAAAGTATTTTTCTTGAGTTCAAATAGTGATCCATAGAGGTGGTATAATATTGGAATAGAAAAGCTGACTAAAGACTGAGACATAATCTAATGCACTAAACAAAAGAGCAAAATAATCATCATCTGTTGTACTCTATTTTCTGGATATTATTTGTCTCCTTTACTGTGAAGGCAAATTAATAAACTGTCAAAAAATTCAAAGATAAATGTAGCCTTAACACCCAGATTCAGTTCCTAAATTCTTTTAGTAGGAACCAGGATTTTCTTTCTTCTTCTTTGAATTAAAATTTTTAAAGATTTTTTCATTTTATTTATTTTAGATTTAGTTTTTTATGCTTTAAATGTTAGGTATAACTTTTCACTTATTAAAAATAGATTTTCTCATATAATATACTTTGATTGTAGTTTCCGCATGGTCCACTCCTCCCAGTTCCTCTCTGCTTCCCACCTCCCCTCTCCTCTGCATCCCTTCCTTTTCTGTCTCTCATTAGAAAAGAATAGGCTTCCAACAGAAGAAAAAGAGCCCTAAGAGAAGGTGCAAAGATCAGAGCTCGTTCACACACCCAGGAGTCCCATAAAGACACTTAGCTGAGAGCTATAATATATACACAGAGGACCTGTTAGAGACCTGTGTAGGCTGTGTCGTTGCTGTTTCAGTCTCTGTGAGGTTATACAGGCCCTGTTCAGTTGATTCAGAGGTCCTTGAGGAACCAAGGATTTCAACCAACTACACAGCTGAGGTTTAAAATATTTAATGCAGCTCCCCAAGTTCACATCACCCCAGTGAAAGAGATTTGTTTGTTTACTGCTACAGGAAGGTTTTAAAGACAAAATTTTCAATCCATAGTAGTGCTTAGTAGTACTATGCTCCAGTCCAGGACCTCACATATATTAGGCAAAAACACTTAGCCACACTCTAACATTGTTTCATCAAATTTTAGACCCTCTATTAAATCAAGATTATTCAAAAGCACTAGACTAACAACACCTTACCCAGCTTCATCTGCCATTTCCTGAAGCAGCATATCCACTTGGTTCTGAAATAAAAAAAATGAATTCATATTATTGTCTTATTACCTTTTGGGTGGGTTTTGGGTGTGTGTAGTTTGGCTTTGGAAACTGACCTACAATTTTTAAAATAGGAGCTACAGAGATGGCTCAGCAGTTCAGTTTCTAGTAGCCATGTCCAGAGGCTCACGTCTCTCTTTAATTCCCAAAACGGGGGGGGGCACGGTATACTACCTCTGTCTTCCACAGACACACGTATTCACTGGTACACAACTACCAACATAATTAAAGGGAAAATTAACAAATATTTTGGAAAAAAGCCCAACTCACTGTTCTGCAAAACTTTTAAAACAAACCTTTGAAAAATACTTTCCTGCCACAAGAGGGCGCTGAACCATCTCAGAGAGCCACATTCTAAACTTTAAGCATTTTAACTTGTCTGAACAATATTGGCAGACAGATTCATATATAATTCACATCTGAGTAATATAACACTCTAAGGGAGTGATCAAACTTAGAAATCCCAATAATAATCCATTTTAGTTATGTGCAATAGATTTAAATTTAGCTTAGATTTATTATTCTGCAAAACCACAAATAAGACATTAAAATTACTTTTCAGAAAGAAATATCAGTAGACAAAATATACCTAAAGTCTGTACCTATGGCACAGAACCCTATGAGGGTTCAATTATGGGCTTAATTAATTGTAGAACAAAAGCATTCTGAGTAGAAACTGACTTTTCATCTTGTTATCATTCCAACAACCCAGAAAGCTGTTTACTTAGAACTTACATTGTGCTAGACATTACATGTAATCAAGAGGTGATTTAAATAATATGAGATCTACATATTCTACATATAGACAACAGAACTACAAACAGGGAATCTGAGCATCATTGGGTTTTGATGTCTAATAGAGATAGTGGAGCTAATCACATAGGGATTTCTGGTTATTTTGTTGCTGCTGTTGCTTTCGTGAGATAGGGATTTCACTATGTAACTTAGCGTGGTCTGTAATTCCTGAAACTTGAAGCTCACTGGTTTCCAGCTTCCAAGCACTGGGCTTACGAGTACACACCATCAAAGCCAGTCCGATTGTAAAACATTTACTGTGGTTGAGGAGTTCTCAGGAAATACAGTATGCTTAATCAGAAACCTCTTCTCATTTTAACATAGTTATTAAAAATATTTTGAATATGCAAGAAGAAATTCTAAAATGTGGACACAGTTTAAAGCAAAAGATAAATATTCCTGTTGGGACTTTCCTTTCTCTTATTCTTTCAACTACTACAGAAATGTTTCCAAATATAGAAAAGTTTCAAAAAATAATACAAAAACAATCACTGTCTTTTAAAAACTCCATCTGTAAAGTATTACTGTGTCCTGAAATTTAAATATTGTATTGTATTATTCTACAGCTTACCTTCCTTAATCTTGTAAGATTTAAATTTTTGCTATCTATATATTTAGTTCATTCAATGTAACTCTTTTCTGGACACTTGCAAAATCTAAATACATTAAATTTAGCAAATATACTCAATTTCTGGACATTTACTTTTTTATTAATTTCTATCACAGGCAATGGTCAAATATTCGTGTGTGTGTGTGTGTGTGTGTGTGTGTGTGCGCGTGCGCATCTTTGTTCACATGCCAGGAAATTCTTGGTGCATGAACTTGAAGGTGGAACTCCTGGATTATAGGGTATGTATATTTCCATTTACCCAGCTATTGAAGGGAGCAGGCAAAGGACCTTGATTTGAGTACTGCCACTTTACTTCACATTACCTGCAGGGTGAAGTAAAGTTCAGGTTCCCAAGCCCTAGGGGTGATGTGGGAGTGTCAAATACCAATCTGTTGATTTCATTGGTTAAGCAATAAAGAAACTGCCTGGCCCTCATAGGTCAAAACATAGGTGGGTAAGTAAACAGAACAGGATGCTGGGAGAAAGAAGCTGAGTCGAGGAGTCGCCATGATTCTCCCACTCCAGGCAGACGCAGGTTAAGATCATTCCTGGTAAGCCAGCTCATGGGCTACACAGATTATAAGAAATGGGCTAGTCCAGGTGTGAGAGTTAGCCGAGAAAAGGCTAGATATAATGGGCCAAGCTGTGTTTAAAAGAATACAGTTTCCGTGTAATTATTTCTGGGCATGAGCTAGAGCTAGCCATGTGGGTGGCCGGGTGCCAGGGATGCAGCCCCACCGTTCCTATTACAACAGAGTGGCGCCCAGCGTGGTAAAGAACTTCACGTAAAACCTGAGAGAGCTTAATTTTAATCAGAAAAAAAAAACAGACTTTAACACAGCTTTTGGCTGTTAGTTGGTGACTAGCTGTAGAGAGATTTCCTGATTCGGCATCAGCAGCAGAAAAAACGCTGCATCATTTTAAAGCCCGGCTTCTTGGGGCTGTTCTGTCAGCGTGAACTCTGGCTTTAAAGCATTTCAATGGATTTTATGGGACTGGATGTTGGTGTTCCCACTTGGGATCGGAAGGAGAGTGCTCTGAGCCTGTGCCTATGGCTCAGCACTCCCTGCCTGCAAGTGGGCAGGCAGCCGAATCAGGCTTAGGCAGGTGGAAGGGCATGGCGTGTTTTCAGACTGCGCAGTGCTCTGCGTGTCAGATTTGGCTGTGACTTGGATGAAAAGAATTTCTGTGCTGCACGCTCAGTCTCAGAATTAAAGTGCTGAGTGCCGCTCCTACCTGGCAGCTCCAGAGCTAGCACAAAATGGTATGTCCTCCATTTTGAAATTTTCCTGACTCAGCAGCAGGAAAAAAACTGGCTGTTTTAAAATGCTGGCTTTCTGGGCTGTGCCACCATCGCAATCTCTGTCTGGTTCCTGCGGGAGACAGAGCTTTTGAATGGAGCATTTGGAGTAAAGTGCTACGATTTGTTTGATGGCAACTAGACTGCTGTGTGCCTAAAAGGGGGACATTGCGTGCCGCAGCTCAGAGGCACAAGCAGCTCTGCCATGCTAGTGGTGCAATGTGCAAGGATCAGAGGCACAAGTGGCTCCGCCATGTTGGACTGGGCGGGGCCAGCAGGCAGTACCAGTTTTTGACCTAGGAATGTCACAGCTTAGATTCTTAAGCGCCTAATGATTTAAAGGCGCAAATCAAAAGTGCTCCTGGATAGTAAAAAATTGCAGATTCACAATAGGACAGATTCAAACATAAAAGACTACACTGTTGGATGAATGTACGTAGGCTTGAGAGAGAGAAGAAAAAGAATATAGAGAATAAAGTTAATGGTTTTTAAAAAAAGGTAAAGTCTTTAAAGAGACAGAGTACAGTTAGTTAAGAGATTAAAAGAAATAAAGAAAAATAAGTCATGTAAAAATGGAAAATTCACAGAGAGTCAGGATTATGTACATTGTGTTTTCTTTAAAATTTTTGACTGTAAAGGAGCTAAGTACAGAGAGACATTTCATTACATGGGCTGCCAAGCTAAACCAGAATGGATATAAGGGTATTACGATTTCAAAATTTGGGTCTAAGGATATGATGCTTTGGAGAGGGTCTTCTTTTGTTTTCACAGAGGACCAGACCCTGTGGATTGCATCTATCCCGATATGGTATGATAGACCACGACCTCCCGAAAAGTTCCTATGAACACCCTCAAAAAATTACTTCACTCATCTGCCAACTGAGATAAACCTGGCACACAGGTTACACCCTAAATGATCTGATTAACAGAGCCCCCATTCAGCAGGAAGCAGTTTGGAGAGAAAAAACTGCGCCCATGTTCCCAAAATATTGTTTATAAATGTTCTTTTACATTTAAAGGGGGAAATAATATAGGTATGAATAATTTGCATTTGTGTGGATTTTAAGGTCAATTTTGTTATATGTATATGTATTTCTGATATTGATTAAGGTATTGTGATTGTGTAGTTCTTTTAAAATGTAATGTATAATAAGAAATATAGGTTGCTAATGGATAATCATCAATGATAGTAAAGCTTGTAGTCATGTTACTTAGATTTTCTAGATATATAGAGATATATTTCAGATAGGCATTCTTCATATCTCTCAAAGGCTACAGAATATGGCATTTAAAATATTTCAATAACTTAGGACTTTTCATGACAATGAGACATATCTGCTCCTGGCGGCACCAATCTACGTCGAGAGGGAGATGGGCATCAAAGAGGATCCTTATGGAGTTTGATAGCCATTTGGGCAAGAAACTGTTCTTGCCTGGACTGTTGCATAAACTGGACAAAGAGAACCCCCAGAGAGAGGACTGCTGAACTTGCCTAAAGGTGAGATGGTCTTTCGGGGTTCCTGACTCATGAAAGAGTCTGCGAGACATTCTGCAGGATACAGCAGAAAGTGACTGAACTGTCTTTGGAATTTCCTGCTTGATGAAAATGTCTGCTGGATACTATGGGCCTGAAGGCTGAAGATGGATGCCCCAACGGTACAAAAGAACTTTGGGTGACTGTCCAGGCAGCGAGATGTCTCTGTTATTTGTAGAGTTTTCTTATTTCTTGTTTACTTAGGTAGTATTATATCCTTCTGGAGTCTTTGATGGAGTTGAAGAATGAATAGATAGTTATAGTTTTCCTTAGTTATGATAAAAGATAAAATAGATATAAATATTGTAACTGTAATTCTTGCTTGATAACTGTTTTGCTATATGTAATTTTGCTATGTTAAAGTTAAAGCCTTCCTTTTTTTGTTTAAACAGAAAAAGGGGAAGTGATGTGGGAGTGTCATATATCAATCTGTTGATTTCATTGGTTAAGCAATAAAGAAACTGCCTGGCCCTCACCTCATAGGTTAAAACATAGGTGGGTGAAGTAAACAGAACAGGATGCTGGTAGAAAGAAGCTGAGTCGAGGAGTCGCCATGATTCTTCCACTCCAGGCAGATGCAGGTTAAGATCATTCCTGGTAAGCCAGCTCGTGGGCTACACAGATTATAAGAAATGGGCTAGTCCAGGTGCAAGAGTTAGCCGAGAAAAGGCTAGATATAATGGTCCAAGCGGTGTTTAAAAGAATACAGTTTCCGTGTAATTATTTCTGG